ACAGAAAAAAGATCATCCAAATCACATCACGGTGCTTTTAAAAGTCACAGTTTAAGAAAAACAGACTGCTGAGTGCTTCAGATAAACAGCCTCTCTTACCGTCCAGCAGGTCTCGGATCTTGTCCAAGTAGATTTCAAAATAAGAGACCTGCATAGAGAAACGCATCTGTCTCACAAATCTAAAAACTTTTAATTCATCGCCCTGAACATGAATTCATCTTCCTCAGTTTGTCAGATTTAAGGTCTTTACTGCACCGTAAACTCAATCATTTACCTTTTATTTCACATCAAAAAGTTTTGGGTTGTGTGTGTGCTTTTCCTTTCACAGACTTTGTTAACAAACATCTCAGAGACGGCCACAGGCTGCAGGTCTCCAGTGCAGGGGCTCACACCTGACATTTAGTTCATTTTTCAGGAGGTAAACTGAACGACTCCTGTTCTCACCTTGATGTGGAACTCCAGGTTCTCGTCCATCGAGTAGATGTGGTCGAAGATGTCGCGGGCGATGCGAGGGATGATTCCCATCAGCTGCGGGTCATGCAGTTTGCCCTGAACACAACAACAGTCATGTGTTATATTACAGCGATGCAGTTTTTGCAGTCTTTTTCTCCCTTTGATAATTTTGTGTGCAACGTGTCTCTTTAATGCTGCCATATGTTGGGGGTGGTAAATACATTAGAGGGTTTCCTAGGCAACCGGAGCCTGAAACGTCTGCTGGTGACTATTTTCTCGTTCTCGTTTCTCTTTCCTCTTAACTCCCCAAACAGCTCCAGCATGTTGCCGTGTTTCTTCCTGTTATAAACGGGGGGTTATTTTTACTCACAGTCCTCAACTGCTTGCTCACAGAGGATGTTGTGATATAAAGCATGTTGAGTTGACTGTTGTCATCACCTTGTGCTATATGATTTAAAATGATTTTCATTGTTATTAGCTGAACAGGCGCGTTGCAAAGAAAGTGCATCCTCTGTCAGTTCTAAGGTTTCACGTAGCAGGACAGTTTTAAAGAAATCACCTGGTACTTAGCGGGTTTTAAAATGAGGTAAATGCACCCTGAGATGAACAACAACACACGATATTGCCGTCATGTGTCGTGTTATTTTTTTGATATAACAAAAACTGAACCAAGAACCTGTGAAAAACTAGGAGTCCACCTCATGATTTTGTAGCTTTAGCAGCAATAACTTGAAGTCATGGTTTTCTGTGCGGCTTGATCGCACTCTCACACCACGCTGGAGGAATTCTGGCCCACTCTTCTCTAGAGAGTTGCTCAGGTAACTGAGGTTGGCGGGCATTTATGTATACACAGCAGTTTAGTCAGGTTGAGGTCTGGACTTGGACTTTGATTGGAGCACTGCAGAAGCTTGACTCTTTTCTTTTTCAGTCATTCTGTTGTAGATTTGCTGCTGTGCTTGGGATCATCATTGCCAAGCTTTAGCTGTCAAAAAAAGACAGCCTGACATTTTACTCTAGAATATTTTGGTATCGAGACAAATTCATGGTTGACTCAATGGCTGCAAGGTGCCCAGGTCCTGTGGCTGCAAAGCCCAATTTTAAAGCCTTTTTAAATGAAGAAATTTAAAAAAGAACATCTGGGTTCAGAGGTGGACTTAAAAGTTTGACTTAAAGAGGGTGAAGCAGAGATCAGATCAGAGAATTAAAACCAGGCTTGAGGATTAGACTCCGAGCTGAAGTTACACTGGTGACATGTCGAAATGACGAAGAGCTCCTCTGACCATTTTCTACTAATAATCATTAAATTTCACTCCTTTAAAACACACGCTGAGTTGGACGTGATGATTAAAGGCTTTTCCAAGATGTTAACCTTACCAGCTTTACCACCTTACCAACCTTACCCCTCGCACGAGCCTGAGTGGGTTTCCTGTTGGCAGTAAGCCTGTTACACAACGCCCGCTGTGCTCTAATCCTCCAACTGTTTGAAAGTTCCAAATAAAAGTCACCGCACGTCTTTACACAAAGGGCTTTAGAGAGTATTTACTGTCACTTTGATAGTCTTTAGTCACCTTTATGTAAAAAAGCTGTAACTTCAAAGGAATGAAACCCCTCTGCAGCTGACATCTGGTCACTAGTGAACATCTCAGGGTTTAAGAGCACGCGTGATCTAATGAGCGTCTCACCTCCATGGTGTGGGTCTTCCCGGAGGACGTCTGCCCGTAGGCGAAGATGGTCCCATTATAGCCGCCCAGCACATCTGGAGTAACACAAAGACACAAGGGTGCAACAACATCAGCATGTCTGAACCCCGCGAACGAATCTACGACACAGTCCAGCCCGCTTCTCCGGTAAATGAGCACTAAACCTTCACAGTTATAAACACTAGCGCATCCATCTACTGATGCTACCTGCAGAGATTTTTCAGAGGTTATACTAGAAACCAGTGACTGTACGCTGGGTTGAAGGACATTTCAACTCCTAAAATGCATCTAGAGGAGAGAGGAGGCTGGAGGAGAAGGACGCACAGGTCTGTCCTGTGCAGAAGTGCTTTTACCTTCAGTATATAGGAGGTGTGGCGTGATCAGGATGGACAGGATTAGAAATGAGTGCATCAGGGGGACAGCTCGGGGTTTGGAGACAAAGTTAGAGAGGTAAGTGAAGGTTTGAGCATGTGCAGAAGAGGGACAACCCATATGATAGACGAAGGATGTTAAAGATGGAGCTGCCAGGCAGGAAGGAAAGAAGAAAATTCATGGATTGGTGACATACAGCTGGAACATATAAACCCTGGTGGGAGGAGACATTTTTAAATAGCTGGCCTATGAATACAACTCTAACTTATTACATGTACATATGCATACAATATCTAATAGTAATGATGTAGTTTTACTGCCTAAAAATTAATGTCAGCCCCCCAAAACTCCAGCATCAGCCCTGCTGCTCCGGGAAACACTCATTTCCATGGCTCCATTATGTAAAGCAACAATGAAAAAGGATGAAGAGCAGATTAAGTCTGTGTGCAGATGTTCGATAGATGACGGTTACATAAAGAGCTATGGTTCCTCAGCTTAAAGCTTCTTACCTTTCACTATCTGCTTGGCACACTGGTCGTACACTTGCTCCTGCGTCGTGTTGGTAGGCAGCACGCGGTCGAACACGTACGGTTTGCCCTGATTCACAATGACAAAGACAAAAACACACAGCGACAGGCTTCAGAGTCATCGCAGCACCAAACACAGCTGTTCCCAGTCGCCCGTGATATTTAAAACATGATTCACGAAACTGTATCAATAATGCAGATGTACTGTTAGAAATAACCAGATAAGGGGGTTTGGCACGAAGATTCAAACACTGGGAAAAGGATGCAAACATGGATACAAAGACCGCCTACTTGTTTTGCTTTGTTTTGAATTCTTTGTGAATGTACACCCACCAGTCACTTCATTAGGTACACTCGTTTAACTGCTCGTTAGCTCAAATATTTAAGAGTCTCTGATGAGTCTCAATTTCTGCTGCAGCATTCATATGGTAGGGCGACAATCTGAAAGCATGGATCCAACCTGCCATTGTATCAGCGCTTCACACCGCCGATGGTGGCGTAATGGTGTGGGCGGATATTTTCTTGGCACACTTTGGCACGATGTTTCCAACAACATGTTGAATCTGTGCCATGAAGAATTAAAGCAGCTCTTAAGGAAAAACGAGGAAGGTGTACCTAATAAAGTGTCTGTTGAGTGAATGAGTTTGGGCTCCTTTTGAGGTTTTATTGTCGTTCCTGGTGTCGTTGGATTTCTGGGTTCCTGTGTTCTATGCTTTCTTTACCGTAACCTTTATTTCCTGCATCACGTCTTTGAATCAAGTGGTGATTTTTCACTTTTGGATGTCGTATTTCTGTCAATAAGCTTCCGCAGTGTTTCCCCAGCTGTTCCTCCCTGAGTCTTCCTCTCATTTATATACTTATACTTATATATATATAAGTATAAGTATATACTCCAATCAAAATGCTGATGGAGTTATTTCTATACCTGCTGCAAAGGACAAAGAAACTGAACTTCTCCAGTTTATGGACAAAAAAAGATGGTACTTGTAGCTGCGTCATTAGAGGATGTTTCTGTGGACATGCGTGATTGGTTGCTTTGGATTTTGGACGAAAATGGGTGAAGCTGGGCCAGAAATCTCTACCATTTCTTCAAAATGCTCCAGTAACTGCCATCCATCATTCATCCAGCTCCTGACTCCTGCTCTAAGGGGAAAAGCCTCATTCCCGCTGCAAAAACGCCGCTCTCAGCACTTGGAGGCAGCGGCAGCAGCACTCCGAGCCCCCAAAATACAGCAGAGAAACCCCTGACACAGACAGTATCAGGGTGTGTTTGTCGGTAATGTGCTTCTGCTCTGCTGATTGATGGCACGAGGCGGCGGTGCGCAAGTTTGTCCTGACGGAGGAGAAAGTGTTGCTGGGCGATTAAAGCAACTGCACGGATAATGGAGGGCTGCTGATGGAGGTGACACATCTTCGTCTTCAGTCACCCTCTCTCTGCAGCAGATTTTACAGAAAAATTCACCTTTTTTTTTTAAGATGGTAGGGTCACAGAGAAAGCACAAATCTGATGTAATCTGATGTAAAAAGAAAAACTATCCATTTATTTACAAATAAATAAGAATTTCCCATGAGGTACAGGCTCATTAAGAATAAAAAGAACATGTTTTCAGAGGTCCTGTACAAAATAAACACGGGCGTTTCTGAAGCGTCAGAGCATCAGGTGATTGAGGTCGGATCCTTTTAATAAGAGATCTGAACTGTTCAAAAATATTGAGGGAACACTTGATCATCCCAGCATGACTCGCAGTCAGTTAAACTCCAGGGATACCACTGTGTTGTTAGGAAGCAGAAACCAGTGTGGGTCCATGTCAGCAGTGACAGCAGGTGCAATGGAGAGACTGATTCACCTCAGGTTGCACAGGTTGTCCAGCTCCTCCACAGTCTCCAGAGTGTGGAGGTCAGACGGACAGTGCTGAAGAAGCAGGGGGAGCGCTGCCAGAGCCCTACGAAATGACCCCCACCTTGCTCCTCGACTACATGTTTCAACCACAAACTGTCAGAAACAGACTCTGCGAGGGTGGCGCGAGGCCCTGACATCCTGTAGCGGGACGTGTGCTCACAGCCCAGCGTCGTGCAGCTCCAATGAACGAGCAGGTCCACCTGTGAGACCTTTACGAATGAGAGCAGACTCATACTGAACACGTGCGACAGACGGGAAGATGCCTGCAACACCATGCAGCAGGACCGGTTTGGCAGTGGGTCAGTGACCTTCATCACCTGCATAAGGTTAGGTTGTGACACTAATTCACCCTGCCACTAATGAAGTAATTGTTCTGTAATTAAATGGAATTTCAGTGTATTTTATTTATAATTATTATGCAATTACATTTACCTACAAATACTTAAAGGTGATAATTATTCTGTAATTACCGCGTTATTCTCGGGCAATTTATGCATATTATACTGTATGTTATATTACACAGTACTTACATTTACTTAAAAGTACTTACATTTACAAATTACTCATGCAATACTTAAATAGACTCAAAAGCACTTAAAAATGACTGATGCGATAATAACATTTACTTAAAAGTACCAAAAATTACTTACGCAGCATTTAAAAGAACTTAACATTACTCACATAGTACTAAATTTACTTAGTTTTTCCTGTAAAAACCTGATTTGATACACATGTATTCTAATGAGCCTACCTTTAAATATTTGTGTGTAAATATAATTATATTATAATTTCTAATAACATACTGAATCACACACTTAGCAGCAGGCTGTATTATAAAGTGGCTTTTGAAGGAGGCAGTGTCTATGCTGGCTTACGTCTGGCTATATATACAGTATAGGCCTATCAACACGTGGGACCAGTAGACTCCCAGCTGTCACTGGTCTTTTAAATACCTCACTATGTATTTACTTTTGTGTGATTTCTGCTGACTGTATAACAAATAAAAATATCCTTGATTGTCTGCAGAGGAGGGCCATAAAGTCCCCCACATGCACCCACTATCAGGCCTAACACTGGTGCAGTAGGCCTAGGATTCCTACTGATGGGTGTAGGCAGTTCCCACAGAGCTGAATCCAACTGAGAACCACTGAGATGTTACATATGAGTGCATCAGACAGTTTTGATCAGTTATAATAACATAAGTAACATCATACAGGTGTAAAGAGCCCACTGAGTCATATTAAATTATTTATACATATTTTTTGTAAAAACAAAACAAAACAAAAAACCTCAAATATGCGCTATGAAAAATGTCTTAACCTTTTTTATTTCTATTTTATCTATAGCCCATAGTACATATAGTACAAAATGTTTAAGTTAAAACAGTATCGGTATTCGTATCGGTAATGCTGGCCCTGTATTGATTTGGTATCGATCACAACGAAATTTGCAGTATGGCTCAGCACTCGTGTCTGGTCTGCAGGTGTCTTTTCCTTTAAATCACTGGGCGCGCACACATACGCGCGCACACATACACAGGTAAACAGCATTGAGGTGACAGCAGTGCGTGTGCAGACTTGCCGTTATGACCACGGTGTCGTCCTCTTTGAACTTGGGGATGTATTTGTCTCCTCGGGTAATTTCGGCCTCGTTCAGGGGCCTGAAGCGGCACATCACTCTCACCCCGCACTCCGCCGCGTCTGCCATGGCTTCTGCTGCTCCTCCTGCCAATGTTTACACCGCCCCCTCTGTCCGGTGGTGCCCAAAGGGAGGTTTAGGGACCTCCAGTGGGGCCTGGTCGGTTTAGTCTGCTTCCCTCTGTAGCTAGTCGAGGATTTTCCTGTTCTAAAGAAAGAGTGTCACATCTGTGTTCAGAGGAATTCAGCAGTAGGAAAGTTCCTCCAGCTTTTTAGCCGATGCGCAGGGCGTCCTTCATCTGAGCCTCCTCCGCTGCGCCATGGCCAAAGCGGACAAACCGCAGCGCTGCGTCTCAGATTGGAGCTCGGACTGCGGTGGAGCTTACAGGCCTCCTCGCCCCGCGGCTGTGGCATCGACAGCCGCGCGGAAACGTGGCGTTTTTACTAGGTTGTCAGCGGCGGAGGAGGACTGAGCGGGGAGCTGTCCGCTCTGCAGAGACACCGAGTCCGGGGAGGGTGTGCGCGCACACAGCCGCATCGTCCTTTACCGGTGATCGTGGCGCGCGCTCGCACGATTCCGCGGCGCGTGCCTTCACCTCACATCAGCACCACCATCACTGAGTTAGTCACATGCACGAGCACTCAACCTGCTCTAATTTTCTATGAATCTTCATATTTCTTCATATTTAAATCAACAGTTTATTGTATTTCACTTGAGTTTTTAAAATATACAATACAAATAAGTGTTAAATCCTATATTTTAGGCAAATTAGAATATTTAATAACTGTTATTTTTGTTATCTATCTGCATCTTAGGAAATGTAAACATTTTAGCTGCAAATAACACTGGCTAATCATTAGCTTAAGTTACTGTTTAGATATAGAAAGGAGGGCCTTACGCTAACTCTATACATATTAATCCTTTATAAGCTAATATAGATGTAGAATAAAGGTAAACTAACAATTTGGTCCCCTAAAAAGAACTTATTTAAAAAAATAGTAATTTCCTTCCCAACTGGCCGGTGTGGGTTCAACAAGCATCTAAAGTAATCCCAGTTTAGCTAACATTAGCCTTACACAGATGATAAAAATCAGACTTGAGAAAGCAACCTTTCCTACCTAGCTAGATAATCATTACCTCAACTTTACATTTTTAATAAATATATGTTGATTCTTTATAAGCTAATATGAATATAGAATAAAAGGTAATCAACTTTTTTTTCTTGAACTAAAAATTTGTTTTATATATATATATATATATAAAAGATTTTTTCCAATTAACTAGTGAATAATTTGACAAATGTACAAGCTAGTCATAGGTAAAGCTTCACAATAGCTTTAAATAGGTTTCACACAGGTTCAAATTTAAGCAAGCAACCATATCTGACTAAATAGCTATTGCTAATCATTACTTAAAGAATAATTGTATATCTTAAAATAAATACTTTAATCCTTTCTATGTTAATATAGCTATAGAATAAAGTAGGGGAATCAAACATAAGGTCGGGGGGTCTGAATCAGCCTGGCAGACCCCAAACATGGCTTTGGGATAGATTTTCTTTTTACTTTTAACAGTATTTTCTCAAGTTTAAGAGCTTTTGCTCCATTCACGCTGCACCAAAAATAATTAAGTAATAGAAACACAATTAAATTACATTAAAGTCCCTGTTTTGTTGTGAAATAACAAAATTTGAACAGTGTCCAAGTTAGTAAAAGCTAATATTTACTTCCTTCTTAAGAACTGCTCTGAAGCTTTTGATTATATTTAAACTTTATGTAGTATTCCCCCACGTGAAAAATGTGACTAAATGTTCTGTGACTACTTTGAAAAACATAAGCATTTAATCCACATTTAATAAAAAAGGAGGTCTAGGGCTGCTGAGTAGGTCTAGTAGCTGGATGTTTTTCAAGCAAAGGGGCTTTTTTTGTTTGTGGATTCATGTAAGTTTGGGGCAATTTGAAGAGTGACAAACAGCAGCTATTTAAAGAGTAATATTTAATATTAATGTTAAAAACCCTGCATATAAGTGTGCGTTCCTGCTTTTCCACTAGAGGCCAGTGTACAACAAGCTTTAAACTAGACTCGTGGTTTTACTCCAAACTTTCTCAATAATTTCCTCTTACAAATATTTAATAACAAACCTGGGGGGAAAAGCACCCGGCCTCCACAAAAAGGCATAAAAATGCACAACAAATCAGATAATTCAAGTAAGAGTGACCATGTTTTTAATATCTTAAACATCTGTGCAACATTTTTCAAAATGTTACATCACTGCATGACCTGTAATGTTTCACAATATTTACAAAAAAATGCTGCGTACATCAAACCATTAAAAAAAGTCCAAACAATCTCAAAATAATGGACTCTGACAAACTATCCCTAGCCCACATTAATGCAAATAAAGAAAAATAAACAAGAGCAATCAAGTGCACATCATACTTCACGCAGGTCTATTTTTTGTAAAGTATATATTAGTGAGAAAATATATACTTAATTACAAGTTGAAGAAACAAAATACTGACAACGAAAGGATGGGAGATTTAAAGAGCAGAAACAAACACTGAAAAAAATAAAACTCACACTCACACCTCACACAATCACAGGTGGAAGGAGACGGGAGGGTAAAATAGACCGCACGGACCACCTCAAACACAAAAAATGCTTTGAACTCTTGACCACGAATTACAAGAAACCGATAACAGATCCGTAACACATGGGGTTCCGGTCACAAGTGCAGGAACCTGCATGTCATTGCACAAAAACCAAAAAAGAAAACATAATTTGTTTTGTTTGTTTTTTTAAAAAGAGGTGGAGAGAAGGGGGAGACGAGGCAGAATGAACTTTACCGAAACAGCTCACATGTTCTCCACAGCGAACGTCACATTTTGGAAAACGGCCGGAGGACATCTCCTCCGAAGGTTTACAGTAAGACAAAAAAACAAAACCTCGACTCTCAAAAGGGTGCACGCTGAAAATAACGGGGATGTGTTTTTAAACACATTCTTCACAGGTATTGCTTATGTTGTTGCCGCCGTGAAGGTAACAACAATGCCTTGTGTTCGTGTTTGATACTGATATTTTTAACAGTAAACAAAAGAGAAAAACAAAGAAAAGAAATTTCCTTTTTAAAAAAAAACAAAACAAACAAAAAAAACATCCTCTGTTTTTTTCAGTGTGCACAAAAACACCATAAGGTAGAGAGACATCACATTGGAAAATACAGTACAACTTGACTTAAAAATGCAGGAATTAGATTTGACTTAAAGGCTCCATTTGTTATGGATATGTAGTCATAGTAGTGTTTTCATTTGGAAAGCACAGAAATGGATGTTTCAAAGGGCAATTATATTTTTTTTTTCAGCTTTTGTTGCACAAAAAATTCACCCTTGATGTCAGGTAAAATAATTAATTTGTTTAAAAGGTCTTTTTAGTGCTTTGCTGCAAAATATTGGCCTCTAATATCTGTAAATCTACCAAAGATGCAGATATTTGGCCGATACCAATATCAGTATGGATATTTGGCCGATACCAGTGTCAGTATGGATATTTGGCCAATAATGGTGCACCCCTTGTTTTAGAGGCTGACAAAGGGGAATCTGTTCTTTCAGTAGTGTATTATTTGGTTTTAACTTTTTATTTGTTAGAGTTCTTGCGTATAAAGTTCAAGTAACAGTATTTTAGTTCAAACTTTGAGGCTAATTGGGTTAACGGTTGTGGCTGGTGTGTAAAAATAAAGCTACACATCAATTTCTACTTCATTGCTCTCAGGTTAGAGCATCAGAAAAGATGACTATTAAGAAAAAAAGAAAAAAAAAAAAAAGCAAAACAGGCAACACAGAAGAGTCCAAACAATGAGAGATGCAGTGTTTCGCAGTGTTGATCTTTGCCATCGATTGGTAATATTGCACTTGGTTATTCCGTAGAGATTCCCGGTGGTTTTGATCCGTTTCCAATACTGTCAGACCGATCGAGTGATGATTCTTCTTCTCAGCTTCAAACGCTGATAACTTGTAGTGTTCAAACTGCATTTATTACCAACATCAGATGTGCATATTCATAAATAAGATGCTCTTTTTCTCTACCATGACACAATCTGTAACAAGTAAAAACATGAAGACCAGAAAACCTCACTGTAATTAAAAAGACTGTTATCTGTAATGTTCACTTCTTAAATAAGACAGAATATGACCTTTTTGTTTGTAATGGACTCTGAATACATGATCAATTCACTTGTTAAAAAAAGGAAAGAAAACATACATATACACATATAAGGCTTGAGTTCTCAACTCTTGGTAGTATTATTGCCATCTAGCATATTTGTAAAGCTTAAAATAAATATGGAGTACTGTACATAAATAATTTACATCAATATGAAAAACAAACAACAATGCCCCTAAAATGGAAAACCAAAATAAAATAAAAGCGCTTTCACTGCTCTGGAAAGCCCAGTTAGTGTTGCTTCAGATGCCTCGGAGGTCAGTTACTCTACTGAAAGCTGTGGGTAAAAACACATGGAGAACAAAAATAAAAACAGTCACTGTACAAACAAGCACGAGAATATGATCGCGACAATCAATGACATGATCGTTCGATGCAGCCTGTGATTCTTGTTGCTGAAGGAAAAATCCACCCATGTTAATAACTGGCCAAAGTTTGAGATTAAAACACAAAGCAAACTGAAATTGTCTGCATTTTCAGATGTAGTGGTTTCTGTTTTTTGACCTCCAACAATGAGAGTTAAAGCTTTCAAATCTAAGAGCAGGGCTTATTTTACTCATCATACTGAAAATGAACCAGGATGAGTCTCTAAACATCTCACAGTGTGTTTATATGCATGTAGCGATGGAGTTTTATGGTTTCAGTAATCAGGGAGCAAAATATTTCTCCTGAAAAAAGCCATTTTACATGTAA